GAATGGCGTAGCAATAGAACGATATTCAATGTTTATAAAATGGCGAATGCGTCGAAATTATATTATATGGCGAATGCGCCGAAGTTCTATTAAATGGTGAACACACAAAATTTTTGTGAGTCGGTGAATGCTATGATCGCTATTAAATGGTGGATGCGTTGAGAATCTCATAAATGGCGAACACTTGGGTATTCGATTGAATGGCGAAAAAATAGCGAATGATTTGGGTTTCTGTATAATGGTGGATGTTTACAAAAATGGTGAAGGTTCAAGATATCTCAAATCAACTGAAACTAGGATTCCAAAAACTCGAATGGATCTAATTTTTTACATTATTTCATGATGGTTTATGAATCGTTTTTCTGAGATCTGATATCAGCAGTAGATAACAACTTTTTGTAAATTGNAACCGAAAAAGCGATAAAAAATATAGGTTGCCATTTAAAAAGACACAGTTGGGATCCGCCCAGAAAAAATCGAACACCCTGTGTGACCGCCAATATTTTTATTTTGTCGAGCTCGAGCAATAAGGTAATATTATAGAAAATTAGATTCCTATCTGCTTCCTATATAGAGATATGGAACACCGCGCCACTGTTGCAGGACCCTGTATAAAATGGCGAATGCACCGAATTTCTCCAAAATGACAAATGCGCCAGAATCCTATCAAATGGCGAATGCACCAGGATTCTATAAAACGATGAAGGCACCAGAATCCTATCAAATGATGAATGCACCAGGATTATATAAAACGGTGAAGGCACCAAAATTCTATTAAATGGCGAACGCACCGGCATTCTATTAAATGGCGAATGCACCGGAATTCTATTGAATGGCGGACGCGCTAACTTTCTGTAAACTGGTGAATGCTCTGCTCGCTATTAAATGGTGAATGCGTAGATAATCTAATAAATGGCGAACACTTGGATATTCGATTGAATGACGATAAAATAGCGAATTATTTGGGTTTCTGTAAAATGGTGGATACTTACAAAAACAGTGAAGGTTCAAGATTACTCAAATCAACTGAAACTAGGATTCCAAAAACTCGAATGGATCTAAAATTTTAGATGATTTCATGATGGTTTATGAATCCTTTTTCTGAGATCTGATATGAGAAGAGTAATTTCGCCAAAAGCCCCAAAAATAATATTCCACTTATAGCTACCCTCAATATTGATTTTAATATTTTTCAATTGTGTATCTATGGAAGCTAATGCATAAAAGATAGGTAACTCTTTCGAATTCAAATTCTTTTTGATGCAAAAGAATGTCAATGATGAATTTCATGATGCCCTGAATACAACGTGATAAAACAAGTTTGTTCCTATAATGGAGAGCATGTTCATCTAACAATAACTATAATTCTGAAAGTTGTTAGCTCATTTGTGCTAGGCGCAGACATCACTGTATTATTCTCGGGTATATTATAGCTTTGTTGTGTAGTATCATTAAAGCGTTGCTGAACTGTTATAATTGAATTTTTGATATATTTATCGAGCTATGTTTTGCTGTTCAATATGTGAAATGGTCTAGTGTATATAGTGAAAACATGTAGTCATTGAAACGATTAGTTTCTCTTATTTTTTGTATAAAAATGGATACGGAGATGAAATGGTATCCTGTGCAGTCGAACCAAGATTCGACTTGCCTAAATTCGATTCGATACTAGACTCAAGTTGACTTGACTCGATTATATTCATTTCAATACTTTTCTTCGAATATACCTACAGTGTATGTTTATGATAAAAATTAGTTATGGAACAAAAAATAATTTAAAGTATTGCGAATGCACAGCAGTAGAAATTGAATTACAACTTTTTGTAAATTGAGTTACCGTATTCTGTAAAATGGCGAAGGACCAGGACAGTACGAAATGGCGAAGGAGCAAAACCTCTATATAATGGTGAAGGATCCAAAGCGTTACGAAATGGCGATGGAGTTAAATATTTGTGAAATGGCGAATGCCATGAAATGTTATCAAATGGCGAACGACCAAATAGTATGATAAATGGTTAATGCTTTGGAATTCTATCAAATGGCGAACGCTTTGCGATATAAATGGCGGGTGCTGTGGGTAAAACTACCATTCCAAATACTCGAATGGATCTAAATTTTCAATGATTTCATGATGGTTTATGAATTGTTTTTCTGAGATCTGGTATCAGAAGAGTAATTTCATCAAAACANTTTAATCAAAATGTATTGTTTTCTAGGAAATTGCATACTGCCTGGCCTGGGCATACCGGGCTATACTCGTATCTGGAATCAATAAACATACTGCTCCTATAATGGAGAGCATGTTCATCTAACAATAATTATAAACGGTCAAGGTTTCAAGATATCTCAAATCAACTGAAACTAGGATTCACAAAAACTCGAATGGATCTAAATTTTCGATGATTTCATGAAGGTTTATGAATCGTTTTTCTGAGATGCCCTGAATACAACGTGATAAAACAAGTTATTGTGCTTGATTATAAACAGTGCTTTCAAGCATGTTTCGAAACAGAAATCTAAGTTTTCGGGTGAAATGATAGGTTCTGGGGATTAATTTTGTACAATTTCTAGAATGATAAATCAAAAATTAATCACAATACATAAAACATTTTACTCAAAACTCTATTCAATATTATATAAGAGAATATGCAAAAAATTCCAGGATATGTATCCAACTAATCATTGTGTAGTAAAAACTATGCACAGTGACAAACCGACTCAATTGTCTATTATTTGCTTTTCTAGAAAGTATTAATTTGAAATTAGTGAAAATTTTGCAAGGGGCACTTTAACCTTTTAATTCATCAACAACTCCAATTATGTTTAGGAGAATAAGACAAACATCCAACGAAATACTTTACGAACCAGTAAACATAACAAGTTCATTGAAATCTGTTTTTTCGTTAACCAGCTGTCGCACCCCTACGAACGACAACCCTCAGAAGTCGAAACTTGTGCGAGCTAAGGATTAACGAGGTCTTACCAACAAGTTCATTGGAATCTGTTTTTTCGTTAACCAGCTGTCGCACCCCTACGAACGACAACCCTCAGAAGTCGAAACTTGTGCGAGCTAAGGATTAACGAGGTCTTACCTTTCAACGTGTGATTCCTAACACGGGAATGGATGTCATAAATAGATGGGAGAACATCTCGAGAGGCCAAAGAGGCTAAATTGCTTTCCTGAGAATGGAGAGTCTTTCAGTCAAAACTGATTTTGTGTTTTTTTTTCTGTAGTTTGATAGTGTTCATTTTAAGACATCCACTGTATTTAAGAAACGTAATTTGAGTGATATATGATCATTTTGCAATCTGTCATATTTCTGCATGCCTTTGCTTTGATGCTCGTTGAAATGAAGCCGTTTGAATACAATGAAAAGTTCAAATTATGAAAAATAATGGTCTCTTAAGACTCTACTTTTATACAACTGATGTTAACCACGGAAGAATCAGACTGATAATCATGCCAGATTGAAAGGTCTTTCTCGAAAAACTTTAATCAAAATGTATTGTTTTCTAGGAAATTGCATACTGCCTGGCCTGGGCATACCGGGCTATACTCATATCTGGAATCAATAAACATACATTACAGTGTTGCTGTTCAATGTGTGGCGATCAGCAAAGTGAAGAATTTATTTCGTTCGTCGGAAGAAGTTTCTATTTGTTCTCTGAGAATTCGATGAATATGAATGGAAAACCGCGTGCTATTGGTACAACAGTTTTCATCTGAGTTTCCACTGTATTCGGATCGAAACTATTTCATTTTCATTCGACACATCCATTCGATGTAACCACCGCTTTCATGAATAAAACCGTATTCGGGTATATGTGTGGAAGAATTTTCAATGGAAAAACACACCATTCACGTCTCGTGTAATGTTTTATCATCGTTGGCATGGAAATGATAACGTTGACAGAACATATAACAGCTTTTCATGTGGATATAAATTGCTTTTATGACATATAAAAGCCAATAAATAGAGAAAGGTATATAATGCTGGTGAAATGGCTTTCATCGAATAATTATTGGATAATAATAATGAAAATAACTTTATTCATTCATTGAAAAGGTTTCACACAACATAATAATGATAGGTGAATGAAGAAAAATGACGATGAGTGCAAGAGCATTTGCTTCGCATAACATCAATAATACAATTTCAAAAATTTGGTAAAACACAGATGAAATATACAGATATAAAGTCAAACCTATAAAATTATCGATTGTAAGAAGGATATAAATTACTTTTATTTTGTATATTATTCGATTTTCGAATTCAGCCAACCAATGTGAACAAGTTTGATCAACTATGCCCTTTGTTTAACAGAGTGTTAGTTGAATAATAAGGCGGTTTGGATAGTATTAATTTCAGAAACCTGTTTTGGAGCACCTCAAGAGGGCGAAGAAGCGTATGTTAGGTTCTTCCATAACATATGAATCTATTATTACTCCTAACTATTGCACTTTAGATTCGGGAAGTATTACATGTTGATCAATTTTCAGTTGTGAAAAACAAAGTTTGCTGGAATTATTGCAACTGAAAGTTATATAGATTCCGATTCAATTACATGTCCCAGTTGCTCCCAGCTATTTGCCTCGTAAAAAATGGCTGTATCATCTGCGAAGCCCGAAATTTTACTTCTGCTCCTGATGGAATTAACATATATCTTGAAAAATTGGCCCCAGAACTATGCTCTGGGGGACTTTTATAACAGTTTCTTGTGTATCACTCAAAATGTCATCGATTTTCACACACCGAAGTCCATTGGGGAGATAGCTCTTAAACAAGTTCAGAGAGGAAATAAAACAAACTCTCTATCAAACAATTCTATACAATGAAATGACGAACAAATTGTGGAAGACGCCTACTTTCCGAAAAAAATAAGGAGTATGTTTATTTTAAGTTGAACGTATGTCGCAACAAAAGTCAGCATTAAGATTTCTTAACAAAGAACTAGAGATCCCAGATATGATTGAATTCATCTGCAGATCTGTAACTCACCTGTACAATTTCTCCAAGAACGCCTCCTTTTGCTGTAAAGTTGAGAAAACACAGGAATGGACTCGTACTTTGTTGGGGTTGTTTTACCTCCAACTCATAAGTGATCCCAACGCTTCCATAGTAAGTCCTGTTACAAGCTGAAATCGAAATAAAAGTTTCAGAAACAGAATTCATTTTTGTCATTGTAAATATTGATGGAAACGGAATTTAATTATACAGCAGTGCTTTGGATTTGTATTATTATAGGAAAATCTTTAATGCGGTTTAAGAGCGGTGCTTTTGCGAAAGTAGCGATTCACATTGGATCAAATTCATTTAGAAAAACGTTCTCAGCAAGTTTTTTCCACATAAACATAGTTCTACAAATGAAACAGTTTTGAGAACAATATTCCAAAGAAGGTCTGGTCTGAGCTTAGAACTTGGTTAAAATGAAATTATTGGTTATTGAGTAGGGAGGAGGCCATATGCGAAAAGCTACAGCAAACAAACGTCTCTGAAAAGCAATTTTCTTCCATTGAAACTAACTTGTACTTCGTTCCGAATTGCCTTTGCCGTGTTGAATGAAATATCTAGATTACAGCATAGTCTTTTATACAACTATGTGCACCAATATAAAATGAACAGTTATAAAACTGACTGTTTCAATAAAAATGATTCTTCAATAGTCCATCATGCTATTTGAACGTGAAGTTTCGTAAATAACTCAATATTACTGAAAGAGATGTATTTTTTCGCCTGTCGGCGAAATATTAAATTCTTCCCATGAATCGAGCTCCAGACGTATATATTTCCCTTCAACTGAAAAAGTTTTCGTACCAAAATTATCGAGATGAGCGTGACACTCACTTATGAATAATTCACGAATATTTTCATTCCTCTCTTCAAGTAAACATCTTTATGACAATACTCCTTGGCAATATTTGAAAATATGCATTCTTCGCAAAGTATTCAGTTTTTCTGGAGCTATACGCATCAGCTCAATCAACAGGTTTGGATAATTTTTGAATAGAATCAGAAATATATGTCCATTCACCGGAAAAGTGTGAGTTATTGCGGAAAAATATCCAAATTGTTTCATGACTGATACGTTATTGCTGTTTATTTTCAGAAAACATAGTTTTGAAATCTTCCCGATAACATAGTATTCTATAATAGCATAAACTATTTACTCTTGATCGTTGATTTCGTGAATGTATAATTCGTAACGATTGGACGAACATCATTGTTTCTAAAATATATATCAACAGAAGAGGCTGCAAAACATATGGACAACAGTTCCTCTATTCCTGTCGATTATATGTATTCCAGTCACATCGCATCCATAAATTGGAATGGAACGAATCCATTATTCTCATTCCTGCTGAAAATCGTTATTGTGGAATGGTCAATAACGAATATCCATCGTCTGTTTGAATTGTAATGCAACAAAACCAGAAACCGTATTCGTTTGTGTTCCGTCATATTCCCGCTTTAATGATGCGAAATACTAGATATACAATTATATCCACGCCATTTCTATGAATAGTTAGGAAATACGGGGACAATGAAACTTGAATACTCCGACCTAAAGCCATCTGGAATTTTTTTGTGCAAAATTTATCTTGCGCTAACAATACATAATACGAAAGACGACGAGACAAACTTAATGACGTATGATATATCCTAGAATGGTATGATGAAAGATACCTTTCTTTAAAAACATGAAAGAGTTCTCAAACAAGTATGCGAACAGCCAGTAGTCGCAGGGACCCAAATCTGGCGAATACGGTGAACATGGGAGCACATTCCAAAACACCGAAGCCACAAAACCTTTCCAGCCGATTATTGTTATTTCCGGCGCTCTGGACGAGGTTCACTAGTTTCTCACCACTCAGATAATGAGTGAAGATGGATCCATTTTCATCCATTGTCACATATCGTCCCAAAAATTCCGGTTTGTTATGTTCAAACATGGCCAAACACTGCTCAGAATCATCAGGACGTTCTTCTTTATGGTCAACAGTGAGCTCGCGCGGCACCCACTTTGAACAGAGCTTTCTTATAGTCAAATGCTCATGCAATATAAAGCCAACACATCCTTTTGATATCTTGAAAATGTCAGCTAACTAAAGCAATTTCATGAAAATTCAACAGCTTTCTTTTGAAGGTTGGTTCTAATTGATAAAGTGGTGAATGAAATAAGATTAGCGCTATCTATGTGTTAGTCCCGAGATTTTCCAGCCCATTTAGTATTTAAAGAAGTGGAAGTCCATATGTGATTACCAAAGTTTCATTCACATCATACTAACTTTGGAAATGTTAGCCCGTAATAGGACTTTTCGGACACCCGGTGCAATGTAGCACCGAGCATCTGATAAAATAGGAATTTTCCGTTGAATCTGCTACACACCGAAGATAATAAATCTCGTGAGTTCCCGCTTTTCTGTACAGCTTCAACAAATTGAAATAATTTTTTCACATGGCTTTCGGCCGATAATTACAGCAGCCAAACCTAAATAAATCTGAGTTACCGAGCCCAAATGTCATGTATCTTTCCCTGGAATATTAACGACGTGGGGACGGCCACGCCAACAGGCCGCTCTAATCCAGTTTTTATTCCAGTATCAGTTGCAGTGAATTGCAGAGTGTAGAATCCTGCCGTATTTTCCGAAACTAATTGGTGCTGTGTAGTTGACGAGACCCCAATTCGAGTTGAACTCACAGAGACCCCATTCAAACCGTAAAAAACACCTCGATACCACATAAACTTCCAGCGTGAAATTGAACGTTCGCTCTAATTCACCGCAAAGTCTAGTTGGCGAGTTTTCGACTAATTTTTCATTACGTAAAACAGACAAGGGTGTAATTATTAGATTGGGGGTATCAATTAAAATGAATGAGAATGAATGGAACGGGGCACTGCCTTCGGCAATTTCAATAAAAAGGATTTAATTGAATGACTACGTGTTTAAACAAAGTGTTCTTTAATTGGCGTTTGAAAACCGCTCGTCGCTCAGTTAGATGGATTTTTCGCTTGTAGAGCTCCTGGCTGGAACCCATTAATTTTATAGTTACGGAAAAGATCAACACTTTCTAGAATTGTTTCACGAAACTTCTCCGCTTGAGTTAATGTTTGTTGGTGGTAGTTAATTTCATTTCAATTCTAAATTCAGATGACTTTGATATCTAAAGTCTATCCAAATCCAAGATAGAGTAGAACAAAACAAAACCGGAGCGTGATTTTCACGTGATCACCCAGTGTCAGATGGAAAGGGCAGCGTTCATTGGTGAAGTCGCCTTCTTAGTACGAGTTTAGTACTAGCACAGGGTTGTAATCAGTCGTTTGCGTGTTTGTGTGGCGTGCGTTATAGTATATTGTTTAAAATTGTTTTTCAAGATGTCCAGTACAGATACTGCTGATGACACTGTGACCTATCCTCTGAGTCCAGCCAGGAAACGATCCAAAAAAAGACATTTGAGTGTTGAGATGAAAGAAGTGATTTTAAATGTGTTCAAGAAAGAGATGGAAGAAATTGAGACATCGACTGTCGACGAANTTATGTTTTGAATTTTGAATATGTTCATACATTAATGATTTTTTATCCGAAATGGTATGTTCATGGTATCTTATATCAAAATTCCTACCAGTTTGGCCTGTATATATGGCGTGGCATTCACCACATTCTAGTCGATATATACCAGATCTCTTTCCTTTGTCTGATTTAGGTTTGGCATTAAATAATCTGTTTCCTAAATTTTCGTTGGATGTGTAGGATGTTTGTAGATTGAATTTTGAAATATAATTTTTAATATTCTCGGAGATTCTACCTGCATAATTGATACTAACATATTTGTGTTCTGGACTTGTGGAAATTAAATATAGTTCTTTCATTACTTTCATTACAATACCTATTACTCTAGTTAACATTATAATGAAATATCAACAAAAATCAGTAATTTATTTGGTGAGAATTTTTTTTTGTTCAGCATAACGAATTGATTATATTTAGTAACTTATTTCATTGAGTCACATTTGTAATATGCATAAAATTGAACTTGACACTTCCTTAATGTCTGCGTTTATGAAATATATTGTCTTGAGATACGATAACACTGGTCACTTCATCATGTTTCATTTCCCCAGATGAATGGAAATGTTTTACAACCAAGAAGAGTTGAATTCAATAGATATAAACCCGATAGTTGTGGATGTGGAAGAGTATTTGAATGATAAACTGGGTAAAAGAATCGAATTAAAAGGGAACACTGTGAACACAATAAGATCATTTTATAAAAAAAAACAGCACAAAGGAATCAAAAGTGATTGGGAGCGATTAAAAAAAATAGTCTGGTGTGATAAGTATGTAAGGCTGACCACACACGTACAGTTTCTATGATCTATGCGTGATCGTAACCGTCTCAGTTAACATATTCGGTATGTATTTCCACTTGAAAGTTTACGCAAATGAATTATCTGTTTGTATGCATTTTAGTTTACAGTTTGAACTAACAGTTGTAGCTGTTCAGTCAAAACCGTGCGTGCCTGTCCGGCCTTAACAACTAATATTGCCAAAGCATATGGTCGCATTCATTGCTTGATTTTAACAAAAGGATTCCTCAATAATAATGATTTCTTTATTATGTTTTCCATTATATATTATTTCAACTTATGTTCAATCCCAATTCTCATCAAAGATGAAGCACAGCGCCTTTATATTATCTCAACATTATATGTCAACTAGTTTTCCTTCTGTGAAATGTAACACGTTCAAATATTAACGAAATGATTAAACCTAATTCAATTTGGAAGGTGGTTCTCTCGAGAATTAACACCTTCGGCGGTAAAATATATCCTCTAGAGTCTAGCATATTTATTATTTAATGAAAGCAGCAATTATAGACGACGTTATGAAAATAGGCCGGTTTTCGTCAAGTTAAATTTTCATTTATATGCTCTTAGCGTACCTGATATGGAAATTTTTCCTCTAATGAAACTTTAATGAAATCCTATGAAAACTATTCGAGTAGGCAATTTGGTACGATCTGGGACTAATTTAACAAATTAGGGATGTAATGAATTTTAATGAGAAATGAAAGTAAAAAGATCATGAAAAATCAGGTGAAATTACTGATTACTTCTTGAATTGAAAGAGGTGCA